CAGAAATTGTTTCTCATAGAGTTCTAAAGTCCAAAATCAAGCTGCTGGTAGATGCAGTGTTCAGTGAAGATCCTCTTTCTCAAAAACAGTGGCTTTTTGTTGGGGGAATCTGTAACAAGTCTCTGTCTGACCAGACAGCTCCCAAATAACCACATGGAGACTTACTATTAATTACGAAAGCTTGGCCTTAGCTTAGACTTGTCCCAATAGCTCTTATAACATAAATTAACCCATTTATATTAATTTGTGTTTTGCCTCTTGGGTTTTTTTCTTTCTTTTGTTCTGTGTGTCCAACTCCCTCCATGTCTCATTGGCATCTCCCCGCAGCCTAGATTCAGTTCCTACTTCCTCTCTCTGTCCATAAGTCCTGTCTATATCTCCTGCCGAGCTATTGGCCATTGAGCTCTTTATTAAACCAATCACAGCAATACATTTTCACCCAGTGTACAAATATCCCACAACAGGGCTCTCATAACAAAAGGGTCAAGTCAAGATCTCTGGAGGTCTTTGATAAGGACATTAATTCCATTAGCTAGAGAACCTGCCACTGTGATTTATTTACCCATCCCCCAAGACCCAACTCTTGTGATCATATGGATTAGGTTTCAAAACACAATTTAATGAATACAAAAATTACATATTTATGGGTGCCACATGATGCTTTCATACACGTACACACTGGATAATGTCCATGTCAGGATAAACAAACATGTCTACCTCCTCCAGTAGTTACCATTTCTTGATGGTAAAAATATTCAAATTCCTTTCTTCTAGCTCTTTGATATGTCATGATATATATAGTACAGTTCTGTTCTCTGTAGTCATCCTATCACATACCTATGTCTTAATCCATCAATATGAAGTTCACTCTATAAAGAAAGGATTGATTCTCTCCTGTTTCTCTCTACTCTCCCTCTCTCTTCTACTTTTTGGGCTGCCTTCCCGTATCGTGTGTGTGTGTGTGTGTGTGTGTGTGTGTGTGTGTGTGTGTGTAAGAATGTTCTGGCACTTGTGAATTCACAGAACCACCCTAGGTGCCATTCTTTCTCAGGTGCCATCCACCTTGGTTTTTTGAGACGGGGTTTTTCCCTAGAGCCTGGAGTTTACTGATTAAATTAGGCTGGCTGGCTAGTGAGCACCTCCTGCCCCTGTTTCCCAGAACCAGAGTAATAAGTGCCCACCACCAGACCTGGCCTTTTATGTGGGTGCTGAGACTTGAACTCAGATCTTCATGCTTGCATGGAAAACACTTTCTGACTGAGTGATTTCCCTGGCCCCATTCTTTGGCTGCTTCTAGTATACAATTAACATTTTTAGCCACTATGTCCTATTCTGTAGTCACAATTAAGTCTTCCAGGATTTTTCTATAGGTTGCTTCTAAATTATAAAGCTGGAGAATGGCATGTACAATATTATAACAATTGTCATACGAGCAGCAGGAAATTAGTTGTTTTCTGTCCTACCTCTTAACCCTGCTGGGTAAGTAAATTCCTTTCTTTGTAGGTACAAAGTGAACACACTGGCATGCCCCAAGACTGTGTCCTTGGGGAGTAGAAAGTCTCATAACTGCTTTGAATGGGCACACTTGGTCTTACCTTAACAATGAAAAGAGTTCAGCTATACACAGAATTAAGAGTCAAAACATGTTTCAGACTTAAAACTTCTTCTGTCTGACGAAGCCTTCTAAAGGACTATCGATGATTCCAGACCTCTTCAGAGACAGAATGGGGGAGGGGAAGGCTGGAGGCTGGAGAGATGGCTCAGTGGTTAAAATCACTGGCTGCTCTTTCAGAGATCCTGAGTTCAATTCCCAGCAACCACATGGGGACCTTGTCAGAGGGTTGAAAAGGGGAGGGGAGAGGAAGGGAGGGGAGCAGAGAAAAATGTAGAGCTCAATAAAAATCAATTAAAAAAGAGAAAAAAAGAAGAAGAAATTAGCCTTGAAAGCCAGATGTTAGACAAGTATAAAGAATGTCAGTCCAATCACAAAGCTAATTTTCATCTGTGGAGAACTCACAAACATCTATAATGGAGTCTGGTGCCCTCTTCTAGTGTGCATAAAAACACAACACTCATATCCATAAGAAAACGAATTAAACAAACCCAGACAGACGGAGGATGGAAGGGAAATCTCCCCGTCACTCACCTGTCACCCCTGTAGAGGCAGTTCTCTGAGAGCCTGGCTGATCTCTATGAGCCTGTAGAGGTTCTTCAGTCTCCCCAGCTAACTCATCTGCTCTCCTGCCTCTGGCATTCATGAACTGCCACCTTCCCCTCAGCTTTTTCAGCAGGTCCCCTGGAGATCTTCTGGTGCCCCCGCACCCTGTGTTAGGCCCATGCTCTCTCTCTCATGCACAGACTCGAGTGTGGACTGATCCTTTCTGCTGCCGAGTAGCCCTGTTGACCCTTGTTTTTTTTTGGTGACTCTGAGTTTCCAGTGTGGTGTCTTGTGGGTGTCACAGGTCCTTGGCCATCCTTTGAGGTTTCTGGGGAGTGACCATGGATGTGTTCCCTTGGGGGTCTGCTGTTGCTTATCTCTTGGTGCCTCTACACTTCCCAATGCCCTCCCTCAGAACACAGTGCAAGCTGGAAGCTCAGGGAAGAACAACCGTTCCACTTTGCAAACCTTGAGCACTTGAAGGGGAATGTCCCAAGCATCGGGGTCTGGTGGATTCTCTTCCCTCTTATATTCCACCAGTCGCCTAAATTCTCAACAGAGGTAAATTGGCTTTGTGACTGGACTGACATTCTTTATACTTGTCTAACATCTGGCTTTCTAGGTTATTTCCAAGTTAATTTCTAATTAACTTCCTCTTTCATTGTTGAAAGAAGATTCACAGGCCTGTGTCTTCTCTGAGTTCTTCCTGATCCTAAATTATGCTATATGTTATGATCGCTTTATTATTAAAGGCATTTTCCTCAGGGCCCCGTGAGCCTTGCTCTGTTTTCCTGTGTATCTGTGTGTTCTCTTTCTTCCAATGTCTATCAATACAATGCCATCTCCTTTACATGGTTTGGAAGCTGGTTGTGCCTTGGGTTACCTTTTCCTAGGGTCCTGTTTACTCAATGATGTTATGTAGTAAATACATCTTCTTTGTTAGTCTTGGTGAGATTTGAAGGCAAGGAACCATTGCCAGAACTTTCTATGGGTGTCTGTCAGAGAAGATGGTTTTCACAGGTGTAATTCATAAAAATGGACCAAATGTAATTCAAAGACAAAGGAAGGACATTTTGGTGATGAATATAAGTTTAAATAAGTTAAAATAGCTTATTTTCTATTTATTAAATTTTCTAAATTATTAAATAGTTCAGTTGCTATAACCTGTGCAACCTTAAAAGTAATGGGCCAGTAAGAGTAAGACCTTAGTTTGAAGACCAAAGTACTCTTTGCACCCTGAACTTCCAAACCTATTAATGCTTGTAGAAAGTCATGATTCACAGAGGCCATTTTAAACCTCAAATTCTGACATTACATCATATAAAAATATTAACCATTTTCACAAGTTTCCTAAGGAAAGCGAGGGAAACTGTAAGGTTATATTAAACACCAAAGTCTGTGACCAAGAATCCTATACTCTTTTTCTTTTGTCCCAAAAATAAGAAAGAAAGCCCCACAAGGTTGTTTGTTTTCTGTTCTTGGTTACATAGTTGGAGAATTACCTTTTGCCTCATTATGTTTAAAACTGTCTCGATAACTTCTCAGTTCACTAAAATACTGAGCAGACTTAGGACATCTCTGCTGGAGGTTTCAGGATGAAATGTAATTAATAGTTGTAAAATCTCCTATAACTGAAATACATTGTTCTGAAAGGTGGCCTTGAAGCCTGGCGATCAGTAAAGAAAAGGATAAAAGGATGGAAACCGGCCTGGGGAGATGGCTCAGTCTGTAACCGGCTTGCCGTGAAAATAGCGAGGGCCTGAGTTCCCATCCCTGAACCCAAATGAAAAGGCAGGCACAGCAGTGCACATCTGTAGCCCCAGTACTGGGGAGACCCGTGGATCCCTTGCCGACTTAATTAGTCACATCCCTGAGCTTCACATTTAACAAAAGACTCTGTCTCAAAACATAAGGTCCAGGGCAACTGAGGGAGACAGCTGGCCTCTGTGTGCACACACACATATGCCCACGAGCGTGTGTACACACATGTTCACGTATATCCCACACACAAAAATTGTGCAAAAGTCACTGGTGTGAATATACAGAGTTCTTCTGACTGTACGTTGAAAAAAAAGTTCTGCTTTAGTCTGATCTCTCCTTCCCTCCCTCCATCTCTCCCTCCCTCTCTTCCTCCTTTCCTCCCCCTCTTCTTCCTCTCTAACACACACACACACAGTGACACATAGAATTTATAAAATTCTTTAACTTAATGGTGCATATTTTCCAAACCCAGGGCTAGACGGGAATACTGGGAGAATCTGCTGCCAGCTTCAGGCAGACCTTTCTGTCCTTCGCTCTCAAAGCCGGATGCATAAGAAGCAACGAAAGAAAACTCTGAAAAGACAGACCAGGAAGAACCAGTCTCAAGCCCTGTGTTCCTTGCTGCTGTCATCAGCCTGCCTCGTCTTCCAACTGCTGATCATCGATGAGCTGCTGTCCCTTCAGTTCAAGCAACATGTCCCTCCCGAGCAGACTCGCCAGATGCTGTGGAGATGTGGAGCACCTAGACCTCCCTCCCTAAGCACACTCTGACTAGTAATTCCACAGTGCACCCATGTGGAGATATGCAGGCAGGCTCTCAGGGTGGACTTAACATTCTTAAATAATCCGAAGTCAGCGAGAAGCTAGCTACCTTAGTGAATAATTCAGTTGTCTAAGCTAGATGCTTGAGGACGAGGGAGCGAGCAGGGCTCTGATTTAGCAATCAATATGCTTTTCTCAAGTGATTTCTATCGTAGCTACAAACACGTCTCAGTAGAAGAAATGCTGGAACTGCTGTGAGCGATGGAAGGATTATTAAAATCACGGGGCTTTGCTTTTAAAGATGACTTTTGCTCTCAGGTCCTAGGATTTGTAAGAGCGCCTTTCTATCCACGCGCAGCTAGACTGGAAACTGCTGACGGTCACGGACCTTATAACACGCTGCTCACAGCTCTCTTTCTCTAGCCAAACACAATTGCAATGCTCAGTAAGATACTTGTTGGTTATAGTCAAACAGATGAACCCTAAAAGACTTTCCAAAAGTCGGAGTTCAAGTCCATCTTGTTCTAGTTCTTTCTTGATTCCCATTTGTGTTACACGCTGACAGTGTATCCACTTTTCTCCTTTTCGCAACAATGTAGCAATGTGTGACAATTAGTAAAATTACAATGTATTTTCTTTTTATGGAATTCGAGTGTCTTAAACTTCATAGACATTCTCTGGAATAATGACAATAAATATCCATTACCTGCCATGTTCTGGCTTTGTCCTGTGCTCTCATGGCCACATCGTCACGGGGTTAAAACTGCGATAGATTCCTTTTAAACACATCTGTTTGCAGGCGAGGAAACGGGCCTGAGGAGGCCATGGCACTTGCCAAGGTCACACATGCGGGAGTGACATTTGAGCCCGTGTGCTCTAGATCTGGAACCCTCAAGCGCTGCTCTGCCTTACCTCTGCCTGAACGCAGCTGTTGCTTTTATAATGATTGACTCGAGACATTGGTATTTCCATTTCCTTAGATGGGTAATCTTTGAGTTTGAAGCCTTCAAATTCCTCTCTTCCAGTGCTTCGTAAAATATAAAACATGGAGTTTAAAGTCATTAAACTTAGGAGTGAATTATGAGTCACTTCTTACGAGTGAATTGACCCTTCAGTCTGGATGTGGTTGTTTTTGTAATGCTAATAACCTGGGACTCATTCACCACTACCACTTCAGAATGCCATCTGATGCAGTCAGAGGGTGATTTAACTCAGAGTCCCTGAGGGTGACCAATCTAAGTGATCAAATGGCCTTGAGGGTGACCAATCTAAGTGATCAAATGGCCGACTCTCCTTGCACACCCCTCCGCCAGTACTCATCCACTGGAGCCTCACGACCTCTCAAGGTCACTTACTTCTTTCTAAGACATGTCTCATTCTTAGAAAGTGACTCCGTAGGAACCAGAAATTTGCTCACTACAGCCAGCCTTCACTTGGTCCAAACATTAGGCTTTGATTATCCATAGAACAACTTTTTATTTCCAATTTGGTAACTTAAAGATAGCTGTCGGGGGGGGTGGGGGGGCTGAAAAGGTGCCTCAGGGATTAAAAGTATGCACCTCTTTGGCAAAGGACTTATTTTAGTTTCCAGTGTCCATATGGTGACTCACAACTGTCTGTTAGTCCAGTTTCAAGGGATCTCATGCTTCCTCCTTGCCTCTGCAGCCTCTTGAATACATATGGTGCACAAAACCTCACTCAGGCTCACATACATACATGCATACACACATGCGTACATACATAAATAAATGCCTTTTCTCAATTGATAGTTTTTTGTTTTTTAAAAAGCTGTTAGGCTTCCCTGGGCCTTCTTTTCCTCATCTCCTTCACACCATCTGTGTGATAATCACTTAACGTCTCTGTCAAGATCCTCTTCTGTAAAATGAAGGACACAGCGGAAGCATTGTCGCTGAGGTGCTGAGAGGATCAAATGAGATAATACGGCACTTAAAACAGTGTCTGGCATGTGCTAGGCTCGTACCGTGCGTGTCCCCTTGTCTCCGTGATGGCTCACCCTGGGTCAAAGCTTCTTCCTGTGTTAAGTACCTGAGCTTGAACCTGCGCTCCGGCGTGAACTCCTCACCCTGTAGCCACTGCTGAATATACTGAAGTCACGTGACGAGGGAAGCATATGATATCATGAGAGGAACCAGAGTGGAGAGGCTGCACTGGGCAGGGCTGTCCCTTCTGGGGGCCACACAGCCCTTTCCTCTGGCTCTGCAGCATTCAGTAGGGAAGCGATGCAACAAGTTTGAAAAACTAATGGTAAACGGTAGATGGTAAAGATGTGTTTTTAAATCTCGTTCCATCGACCTATAAAAAAGGAAAATCAGTTGAGACGCAAATCCACAAAGAATAGCTCATTTAGACCTGAAGAGAGAGTTGGGCTGTCCGTCAGCTTTGCAGAGAGACAGCTGCCCCAGCTGCAAAGGTGTGTGGAGCACGAACACAGGAATCCTTGGTTTGAAAGGTGTGAGTAGGGACAATAATAAGAAAACTAAACTGAAGATGCTCAGAACTAGCGATACGAGATGAGAGGTGGCCCCGGGACTGATCGGATCAATCTGTGCCGTGTGTGTCCTCAATGAAACAGTGCACAGCCATGGAGAATTGGGTCAAGAAGACTGTTGAATAACCTGGTTGTGTGTGTGCTGTTTTGCTTTGGTGATGTGTAGTTGGAACATTATTGATAGGACAAAGGTCATCTTGTGTCATTAAACATGAAGATCTCACTTTGGGTGTAGAGGTGCAGTGGCCTTTGCCTAAGATGTCGGGGACACTAAAGTTGATAAAGCTCCCCAGGGTTAAGCAGATACACCATTAAAGTGAGGATTTCGGGTGCTTTGGATTGAACACATGACCTTGCACAGACGTTCTACCACTGATCTACACCTCCAAACTACATATTAAATTAAAAAAAAATGTTTTGAGACAGAACCTCATCTTGTAGTCCAGAACAGCCTTGAACTACGGATTCCTCTGCTTCAGTTCTTCCTTGCTGAGATTACAGATGCACGGGCGCACACCTGGCTGCAAACACTTTTTAAAGGATTGATTTCCTATGTGGAAAGACTGAAAAATGTATCACGATTGGATCATAGTTTAAATAACAATAAAACATATCAAGAGAAAGAATTTCAACTCCATTAAAAAGCAAAAAGAAAAACTATCCCCCTAAACACAGTCTGGAACCTACCATAGCACTTCCTGTCTTAGTCACTGTGTTCTGGTAATACTGGACAACACATGAGATCATTTAAAATGTCAGAAAAGCAAAGATGAAAGTGTTGTTCAGGCAGAAGGAATAGTTGTATAGAAAGAGTATCCAAAAGGCTACTATAGATCATAAGAGAATCTAGTAATATGAGGATTAAATTTCTGTACACAAAAGCCATTGCATATATATATATTTGAGAGCTCTTTTGCAAGTACAATAGGAAATATTTATTTCACATTTTGGCAAAAACAATTAACTATCCAGGAACAAAACTAACTTGAGCTGTACAAGAACTATTGAAGGAGTTTAGGTAGATGCTGTGGTAGGATGCAGAACAGGACTTCAATTAATACATGCACCTGCTCAAAGGAAGATGCTGAGACGCTCTGCACTGATGAGCAACTGTCATGAGACCTCAAGGGAAAATACCATCAGAATTGAGGAGAAAGAGGCATGCCAACTCTCACGTGCATATGGAACAACACTGGTGTGGGAAGTCCTTCTGTCTATGTGTTGCTTTTATTGGCTAATGAATAAATCTGTTTCAGGCCGTGGCTTAGCAGAATAGGGCAAGACAGGAGTTCCAAGCAGATAGAGGAGGAGAGAGGAGGCAGGGTCAGAGAGAAGCCCTGTAGCTGCCTCTGGAGACAGACGCCTCTGCTGGAGCCCGCCCGGAACCTTGCCTGTAAGCCACAGCCATGTGGTGATACACAGATTAATGGAGATGGCTTAGTTTAGGATGTAAGAGCTAGCCAATACGAAACTAGAGCTAATAGGTCAAGCAGTGATATAATTAATACAGTTTCAGTGTGGTTATTTAGAGTCTGGGCGCCCAGGAACGAATGAACAGCCTCCCCCAACACAAAACTATAGAGTTGAGGTAAAATTAGAAAAAGAAAGGGGGTAGGGCAAGTGTGGCAATATTATTCAGACAATGATAATAAACAGAATAATTAAAACCATGGGGCATGGGCCTGCGGAGATGGCTCAGTAGTTAAGAGCACTTGTTGCTCTTCCAGAGGACCTTAGGTTCAATTCCTGGCACCCACATGGAGGTTCACAACCATCTGTGACTCCATTTCCAAGGGGTCTGATGCCCTCCGCAGGCTTCTTTGAGCACCAGGCATACATGTGGCACATAGACACGCGTGCACATAAAACATGCATACACTTAAAATAAAAATAAAACAATAATTAAGTTATAATGCACAGGTTATTTGTATTAAAAAGCGGTGGTAGGGAGCCATGCACTATAAAGGAGCATTTCAAATCAGCCAGGGGAACCTGATTAGTTAAAGATGGGGACAACTGATCAGCCATCTGGCGTGTGCATTCGCTCTCTGTCTCGCTCTCTACATTTAAAGCTGATCAAAGTCTTGGCCAAAATTCCATGGAGAAAGAGCCATAAAAGAACAAAGAAACTGTTACATAAACATTTTTCAGTGTGTGTACACACAAATACCCTGGTCCAAATGGCGTTAGAGGCAAATGGGAAGAGAGTGCAGTGGGCACCGGAAAGCTCCCGTCCAAGAGGGATATCCTGAGGTACTTTAGCCCAGCCTTTCTCCTGCTCATGCACACATTGCAAGGGAGGTGCAATAATATTCGGGACTCCAATTAATAATTATATAAAATTATCACATATTTATTATATATATAATTATATAATATATTTTTATATAATGATAATTAATATTAAGATGATATTAGAGGGCTCTATATCCAGCTGGGACCCAGACAAAGTCCTTGGTTAGTACTAGTAGTATATTGTCCCTACTTAATGTTCTGTGCTCCGGTACATAGGACACTGTCACCCAGATGTTTGGGGAAGTATAACATACAGGGAAGAGATGGTGTGCCAGGCTGGGAACTGGATCTGCAATCATTCACCCAGCACCTGGGCAGTTTCCGAGGAGTCGCACACAGTCCCTAACAGAACCTGGGAAGCCCAGCATGACTTCCCTCCCTAGGGAGCAGGCTTACTCCCTTTGATCCGGTTCTGGGGAGCAACTCTCTTTTTGTAACCCATATGACCTGACAGTCAATGCTCAGAACTGTCAAAGGTTTTCTTTTCCTTTTTTTCCTTTAAAATTTTCAAAACACAAACCAGCAAAGCCTCTTGATGTGTTATTTCTATAGCCATTTCGCCAAAAGCAATGGGAAAATGAGAACTGTGAAAACGGCTTCCTCGATGGCTTGGATCAGGAAGACAGCGGGTGACAAGTGACATGTGAATAGGTGGAAGAATCTGAGTGCCAGCAGCCCGTTGCAAATATTTGCATGTGTTTACTAGACTAATGGAGATTTTCCTGAGTTTACAAATAAGAGAACAGATGACCTTACTCCACTAAACAAGGGAAAAGATACACATTTGAGGTTAGGGAAATGTACAGCAAATCAGTGAGGTGACTTTTTTCCCAACTGTGTTGACAAGGCCAAGAAGTTAATGATGTTTTTTATTAATGAAGATGCAAGGGACTGACACCCTATACATGCACACTATGGAGAAATGTAAAATACCATATTTTACATTTAGAAAACAATTTGCCCATACCTACCAAAATTTCAAGTTACACGTCCTTGTATGAGCAATTTCCTTATTAGGGTATAAACTGCGTTTTCACATGTGTCCAAAGGTGCATGTCTGAAAATCACCTAAATATCCAACAATAACATATGTTATTATATATATGTGTGTGTGTGTGTGTGTGAATTCTCAAACATTTACATATATTAAAACATGAAGTCATTGAAAAGGATACAGTAAGGCTGGAGAGATGGCTCGGCAGCAGGCAGAGGTACTTGCCGCCAAGCCTGGCAGCCTGGACCCCTAGAACCCTCCTGATGGAAGGAGAAAGAGAACCTACTACAGCAGGCAGTTCTCTAAGGACACACATGCGTGCAAACACACACACACACTGACACAGATGGGAACGCGTCAGGCCAGCATGCCGTGAAGTAGAAGAACATTCCTAGACGTGTTGTGTGAGAGCCTGCACCCCTCTGTGTGTAAAGAACACTCCTGGAAGGAGTACTTCCCTTCGTTAGAAGAAAGACTGGTGATTGAAAGTCTAATGCCAGACAAGGACTTCCTTTTCGCCCAGACCCTATTTTGTCTGAATTTGGTTATATGGATAGGCATTACCTTTACTAGGAAATAAATTAGCTTGACAAGCTATGAAAAATTTCTGGATGCGAGGGGAGAACAAGATACCGTGAATTTCTGTAGTAGCACAGATCAGGAAGTCCACACCACCAATGATGCATAGCAACCAAGAATGCCAGAGTGAAATCTGTCCAAGCCAACTAAGAGGACACATGAAGTTTCTGTCCATTTTCCATGGGGATTTTTTTTTTTTTTTAAGGCAAGCTGTCTACAAACTCTGGTTTGCTAGGAAGAAACCAACAGGGAGGTAATTGTTAACAGAAAAACCTCCCACAAGACTGATGATCAGTGAGCTAAGACAAGCTGGTTTGAACCAGTTCTTTCCAGTCCCACAGTAGATATTTGCTGTCCTAGAGTTATCAAGAAGAGCAGATGGCCCTCTGATAAACCCTGCTGTGGGGAGAATCGGGAATGCAAGCCAGCAAATAGCTGGTGTAGAAACCACTTGAAAAGGATCGAAGAGCTGAGGGGAAGCTAGGGGTGGAAGCCAGCAAGGGGTGGAAGCGAGCTAGGGGTGAAGGTCAGCTGGAAAAACAACCCCTGCTTTGCAATGACCACAGACGTGGTCTGACACCTTATGAAAAAAATCTCAGGCAAGGTTAGGCAACCCATTTTTGGCTGTACAGTCCGCTGCCTTGAAGACAGGCATACACTTTGTTTGATCAATAATGAAAAGGCTGGGAAGAGTTTTAGAAGGGCACACGTCCGCCTGACCTTGGGCTTTTAGCTAGCAGCTTAGTGGGGTTGGGGGATGGCTGACTGCAGGATTCTGGCCTGCGTGTTCTAGGCCTGGCCTCTGTCGTCTGCGCACTGCAGAGAGATGGGTACAGGGACTTGTGACATGTGGCAGACAACACCACACTGACACTGACGCTGAGGATGCAATATTAACGCCCCGGTTCAAGAATAAGACCACTACCACCGTTTGAGCCAAATTTGAAGCAAGCTTGATTTTTTCTTAGGGTACACCCTAGACCTGCCTCCTAAGCCAGGTTAAAGAGAGCAGCCCAGAATGCATTTCTTGGGCCCCTTTTAAGGAGTAAAATCACAAATAGTTTGCAAAGCAGGTGTTATAACAGAGAGACAATAGAGCAATAAGGAGGTTTAGAAAAAATCTCAGAAAATATCATATGATTGACATGTGATTAGGGTTAGGGAAGGACAGGGCATTCACAAAAACAAGTCAAGGTCAGGGGTTGGGGCAGGCCAGGCTCCAGGAAACAAATTTAAAAACAGCAGCTCAGATCTTACAGTGGACGGAAACTTATGTTTAACAATACAGCATAATGGCTCCTGCCTTCAAAATGGAGTCAGGCAGGTTCCTCAACTGCTAGTCCACAGCATGGTGAGCCTCAGTAATACCAGGTTGGGCAAGAGGAGTGGGTCAGGGGAAGAGAAGGCCCAGACCAGGGTAGATGGAAAAGTATTTACAACAGAGGAAACGATGGAAAAACAGGCACCTCTAAAGACTCAACATTACTATTTAAGACGCAACTTAAAACATGGGGACTATTTTGTATGCTTGTGTGTTTGGTTGGCTGGTTTTTGTGCATGTCGTCTATACAAGTGTTCCTGTGGGTGTGTGGATCAGTGTCTAGTGTCTTCCTCTACTAGAATGGCTGGCCAGTGAGTCCCAGGGATGGATCTTCTCCACGTGTCTCACACACACTGTCTCACGCCCATCTCTCCTGCACTGGAGTTACAGACATATGCCTCTG